TATATATAAAGATAAAAGCTCTAATGAAACTGTAAAATGAAGCAATAAGAGTGAAAAACCATTTACCCATTACGCCTGCTGTATCACCGAGGCTGGTTTCATATTGCTTTAGCGTACAGTTTCTCATAATAGTCTACAAAAATGGTATAAACACCTACTATAAACCTGAAAAAGGTCAACAGACTTGGATTTATTAGACCCTGCATTCAACACTTATTGAGCTGGTGGAGATTACTCAATGAATATTTATATATATGAATATTTATAAGGCTATATGACACTTTGGAAGACAATGCTTCCTGTTGGGTGCTGTTACTAGTTTTCCTATAAACTTCTCATTATGCCATTTCCCCAGTGTCTCTGTTTAACCTTTTTAGCAGTTTGAATAATTTAACATTTACCTTCCAAATCCAGTGAGTCTAAAAGACACCAGTGCACATCCCAGAATGCCTCTGTTTGTGCGTGTGCCACTTAACAATCTCCTGAGCGTGGCATACAGTTAAACCAGATGACCATCGAGATCTCTTTTCTTGTTCTTTTCTTCCACTAACTTTGGTGGATTAGTACGAAACCTCTAGCTCATCAACCTGACCTGTCTCTGTCTAACAATAACATCCGAGGCAAAATATCATATGTCTGGTGTCCCTGATCGCAGCACTGTGTGCCCTTTTTTGACTGCCCCGCTGCTCTGAGAAAATTAGAAAGAAAAAAAACTGCCATCACAGTCTGCGCTTCTTGTATGATTTGTTTGAGCAATCAGTCATTTTTTTCCCACGGCGAAGTAAGCAGACGCAGAAAGATGTGCGAGAACTCAAATGCCAACCACCTCATCTTCATTTGCTCCAACTTTAAGCTGCAAGTTTACATGAGAAAAGTGAAAAACAAAGTTTAGTGGTTCAAAAACAAGAAACAGAGGAAGTTTGAATATAAATATATATATATAAATATATACATAAACTGATGAATATACTGTAAATTGTTTCTTTTTTTGCTCTGTTTTCCTCTGTACATAGGTTTGCATATTTTATAGGACTTTTACTTCTATCTACAAGGACTGGATAAAGTAATTTAAATACTTAAAAAAAATATATGAATGAAAACATGATAATGCTCATTAAAACCAGGTACAAAAAAAAATATTCGCTAGGATACGGTACAAACTGTAGGACCTGACCAAGGCATTTATCCAGAATACAGTCAGGGAGAGCATTGACCTCAGTTAGAGCTTAGACACACATTGACCTATTTTATAAAAAACAAAACAAAAAAGAAATACTTTAATGGGTTCTATTCATTTATCTGTTTGTTTAGATCTTTATTTATAAGTCATGTCTGAAATGATAAGCATGCTTTCATGGCATTATTTTTTTATGAGTTGGTACGTGACCAAATAGTTTTTATATGACATGCATGGGCCACTGTTGTGGTCCACAGATGATCATTGTTCCTGTCTGCAGGACCATGCCTTCAGAACTTCTTTGATGACGGAGAAAAACGCTCCTTTTGACCAAGTGATGTCAAAGACAGATTTGAATTATTTATTTCATTGTCTGTTTATTTATTTGTTTATTTATTTGTGCTGTTTGAGCCAAGATCTGAGCTCTCATTACTGACACTGATCTGTTTTCTTGCAAGCGTTAACCTTGAATCGCGACACATCTTACCGCTCAAGTATTGGAAGTTTAACCACTACTAAGACTGCTTCTACATTTTTCCTGTGGCTTGCAAACTACTCACAACAATGCAGTACAACACTAAAGCCTTATGTATATTTGTAATTATAAATGCATACTGTTCTGTTCATTTAAAAAGAAAAAAAAAAGGAAAAGCTTTGTTAAAAGATCGTTTCAAAATAAAATGCCACCGTTAAGCAAAGTGGGGGAAATAGTAATCCCTAGTTAAACACATCTTAAATCAACTGTTCAATCAGAAGAGACGCCTTGAGGTCAGTATAAGTTGCTGCTAATATTTAATGAACTAATGTCTGGTTTATTGTAAACAACTTTTGAAAACTGTATTCCCTTCCCTTCCTATTCTCCCCATTGTGCTTCATTTTGTTCAACAGAGCTCTGATCTTGTTCAACTCACGTGTTCTACCGAGAACTAAATTCAATGAAAACTGCACTATTTCATCCAAAAGAAATTTGAGTTCCTATCATTTTTTTTTCGGTGCTGTTATCAGTGATTTTTATTTCTAAAGCTCAGTAGTGTTGCTAGAATCACATTTTACTTCATGTGGTTTTCAAAGTGTTCTGGAAATCTATTTCCCAATTTCAGCACATATGGAGGGGGGTGATGAATGTTGCATATTAAGCTTTGCCAGGTTCCTGATGAGCCAAGCTTCTGATGGGCAGTGCGCTTTAGGCTCCCGCCCCCGTCTCTCCAGACTGCACCATTCTCTGGTCCCCTGGACTCTTCTTTTGTAATTCTAAATGAATGATGCGTCTCAGCTTAGCCCAATAATAAAGCACAGTCTAGAATAAAATACTCTGTGTTGTGTCATAATTACTGCTGATTGGTAACTACTTGATATAAGATTCCCCTGGTTACTTTGGGGTTTACACAATGGCACCAGCTGTCTGCTACAGGATAGTTGTCACATGTGTATGGAACCGACTATGTATAATATTTCCAGTAAATCAGAGATTTATAAAATTTGCATCCTTTAGCCAGATGCACAGTGGAAAATTATGTCATATTGGCAATTTTTTACAAACGAGGCTTGAAAAATAAACATTTATTAGTATTTTAAAAAAATTCTACCAATATCACAATCTATGCAAACCGTGTGACATTGATTCTGATTTTAGAAAGCCAATAAAAAGTTAAATGAAAAACATTTATTTAAAAAAATAAAAATAAAAAATGGACACAGCTGGTAAATATCCAGTGACTGAATCTTTTTCATGCTCCTCATTTTTTTCGTCAGCAAATGAAGAAAATATCTTCTAGTATTTTGCTTTCTTCC